AATAAATGCGACGGTCTGACTGTTTTTCCTTGCATTTTTTTGAACGTAGTCTTAATCAAACGCCTAATCACCGTAATATACCCACTTATCTTAAAACATATTAACTTCAGCTTCTAGTAGGTTTTCATTCTAGGAAGGGATATCTGTCAGCTTGACTGAGCTCAATGACGATGCCGACTACCCGGACCAGGCCGTTGACGACTGGCAGCTGACAGATAGATGTACGGTAGCGTAGAAAGAGTGATGCGCAAACTAGCCGCCAGTAGTGTAACGTGCTAAAGCTCGCGCTACGGAAATCAGGTGTGGGTTCTAGTCCCGCATAGCGCCAAAGTTTTGCACATCACTATTCATCAATGGGTATATCTAGTGGGTAAAAATAGCTTCATTTAAATCGTAATTGTTTTATTTGACCTCCTATTGCGGTGTTATGATGATTCAACAAACCCAATGATGTGGAGTGGTGCGCAAAAACGTTTGCGTAAGCTGGAATTCGAATTCAGATCTTACTCTTTCCGAGAGCATGTGTTAGACCGTTGCACCACCGACGCTCGTTCTGCACTCCAATCTCATTTGATATTTGTACCCCTGTTTCCAGATTAAAAATGATTGTGCCTGGGCGGATCCGATGGGGTAATTCAACAGCAGTGTGATTCTTCCTTCACTATTTGAATAAATGCTCCTTGTACTTAAGAAACCTCCAAAAACTACTCGAAGTCACATTACTAGACATGTAATGCATTTGGTTTCATATAAAGCGGTGAATTTCCACCCTCAGGCGATGGTGGATCAATGGAAAAGTTTTCTTGCATTTGCTGTGGGGAATCCTATCGTAGGCCGTGTCAAAAGTCGCCCCCTTCATTGAAGTGTGACTGGAGCAAAAGCCAATAGATCTACCATGTCTCCCTGTCTCGTAAAAAACTAGCCCCAGCAAGTTTTACTTGCTCTAGTAACTCCTGTGTGCCATATACATCCTCCAAAGTTCTCGTAAAAATTCCGAGCAACAAAGCGGTGGTTTCCTATATACGTTTGATATCAGAAAAAATCTAGCTATTGACGACTTTTGTTCAGCGGTTGTCTATGAAACGCATTATGTGTTCGATTCACCTTATCCTCGACAATTTGGCATGTACGTTTGTGTCTCTGATTTTTCTATTATTAGTATAAGTTAAAAACATCGATTTCCCTGCTGAATGCGTGGTATGGACTGGTGCGGGAATTTAAGGACCATTTGTCAAACTGTGCGATGAATAATTTCTTACTCTCTTTCAAGGAGCAGACATAAGATTTTTAACAACAGATTTATTTATTCACCACAGCTGATGCCCTGGATTTTTTGCGTTCTTCAGAGGTAAAAAAGTTCAAGTTGTTTGCACATTATTCTTCAAAACCCTTACATAACTTCAGCAGAAAAAGCTTGTAGTGAGGATTTTCAGGTGCACAACAGACCTTTAGGCGCAGAGCATTTTGTCCTTTATGAGACTTCAAGTTATTCTTGCAGACCCGCATCACAGATTCTTACATGGGTTATAAATGCGTCTGGCTCAAGTCCTAAATTAGTCTGAGGTACGACGCGAAGTCACTCGTGGTCACATGGCATTCGTCCTTGCTCGATTTTCTAAAACTGGAAAAAAACACTTGCGAAGATTGGTGCGTGTTCCAAAACAAATATAGGTTGAGACTTCTCAGAGGAGAATTATCATAAAAGAAACGCTAAAATATCATCAATGAGACTTTTGTGTGAATAATTTTGGCAAGATTAATGTTATTTCTTACCAAAATCTTACTCTTTCAAAGGAAAGAACCACATTCTTGTGACAGGAAGTGTATTTCCAGCTGTTATTCAATATTTTCAACTATCTTCTTAACATTTTTGTTCAGTGGATGGCATGAAAATTTTTAATTTTGGTAATAAGCTTGTTGTGGGAAAAAGATTTTTATAGTACGGTTGAATAATAATAAACAGATAACGTTTTCCAACCGCAGTCATTTTTTCTAATTCATAGCGTTTCTTTAAGACTATATAATCAGATTTCAATTCCTATAGGCTTCTTTGTAAAAAAAAGAGTTATCATTTTAGGAACTCTTGAAAACGTAATTCTAAGGTGAATAAAGCCCAAATGACTTCAAATTCCTTACTTTTAAAACGAGTTTGTGTCGCATTCAATTGCATTTCAAGGATTGCGCTCATGAGCCCTTGGTTTTTTCCTAGAAAGACCTACTTCGCAAGATTATAGTATTCATTCGATAGCTTAAAAACTGAGGATTTTAGAACCAAGATTGGTATGCCGAAAGTAACCATCTGCTTGTGTTATTTGCAGAAAAAATGGTAATATTTTGCTGCAGCAATCAATTTGCCCTTTCACTTTACAACGATTCCTTGACAGGAATGTAGTGAGAATTTATACTAGGGATACCTCAATATTACGGAAATTTTCTGAATTATTATCATTACAGGAACTTCTAGAAACGTGGGAAGAACGCTCATTTGCTTCAGAAATTCATAGTGTTCAGCACGAAAGTTACATTCGTGAGAAAAGGCCTTTTTAACTCCTCGAAAAAAATGCATTTTCTAAGCCATATTTTACATGTTTCCGACATTGCGAACAGTTTATCAATATGCCTGGTAATTATTTTTTGAGTCACGCATGTCAGTGGTCTATCGAAGAGGGCTGACTTATAAAGCCCGATACACGTGTTTCGATCTTGCGATCTCGTCAAACGAGCACTTACCCTTTCTCGTCGTTTGCCAATCCTGTGTGGGTACTCTAGTCCCCACGCTAAGAGTTAGCAACGACGAACGTTTTACACTCTTTGTTCAGTAAACTGCCCGACTGATGAGATCGCAAGATCGAAACACGTGTATCGGGCTTTATAAGTCAGCCCTCTTCGATAGACCACTGACATGCGTGGCTCAAAAAATAATTACCAGGCATATTGATAAACTGTTCGCAATGTCGGAATCATGTGAAATATGGCTTAGAAAATGCACTTTTTTCGAGGAGTTAATAAGGCCTTTTCTCACGAATGTAACTTTCGTGCTGAACACTATGAATTTCTGAAGCAAATGAGCGTTCTTCCCACGTTTCTAGAAGTTCCTGTAATGATAATAATTCAGCAAATTTCCGTAATATTTAGGTATCCCTAGTATAAATTCTCACTACATTCCTGTCAAGGAATCGTTGTAAAGTGGAAGGGTAAATTGATTGCTGCAGCAAAATATTATCATTTTCTCTGCAAATAATACAAGCAGATGATTACTTTCGACAAACCAATCTTGGTTCTGAAATTCTCAGTTTTTAAGCTATCGAATGAATGCTATTAATCTTGCGAAGTAGGTCTTTCTAGGAAAAAACCAAGGGCTCATGAGCGCAATCCTTGAAATGCAATTGAATGCGACAGAAAACTTTTTTAGAAATAAGGAATTTAAAGTCATTTGGGCTTTATTCACCTTAGAACTACGTTTTCAAGAGTTCCTAGAATGATAGCTCTTTTTTTTTACAAAGAAGCCTATAGGAATTGAAATCTGATTATATAGTCTCAAAGAAACGCTATGAATTGGAAAAATGACTGCGGTTGGAAAACGTTATCTGTTTATTATTACTCAACCGTACTATGAAAATCTTTTCTCCACAACAAGCTTATTACCAAATTTAAAAATTTTCATGCCATCCACTGAACAAAAATGTCAAGAAGATAGTTGAAAATATTCAATAACAGCTGGAAATACACTTCCTGTCAAGAGAATGTGGTTCTTTCCTCTGAAAGAGTAAGATTTTGGTGAGAAATAGCATTAATCTTGCCAAAATTATTCACACAAAAGTCTCTTGATGATATTTGAGCGTTTCTTTCTATGATAATTTTCCTCTGAGAAGTCTTAACCCATATTCGTATTGGAACACGCACCAATCTTCGTAAGCGTTTTTTACAATTTTAGAAAATCGAGCAAGGACGAATGCCATGTGACCACGAGTGACTTCGCGTCGTACCTCAGACTAATTTTAGGACTTGAGCCAGACGCATTTGTAACCCATGTAAGAATCTGTGATGCGGGTCTGCAAGAATAACTTGAAGTCTCATAAAGGACAAAATGCTCTGCGCCTAAAGGTCTGTTGTGCACCTGAAAATCCTCACTACAAGCTTTTTCTGCTGAAGTTATGTAAGGGTTTTGAAGAATAATGTGCAAACAACTTGAGCTTTTTTACCTCTGAAGAACGCAAAAATCCAGGGCATCAGCTGTTGTGAATAAATAAATCTGTTGTTAAAAATCTTATGTCTGCTCCTTGAAAAGAGTAAGAAATTATTCATCGCACAGTTTGACAAATGGTCCTTAAATTCCCGCACCAGTCCATACCACGCATTCAGCAGGGAAATCGATGTTTTTAACTTATACTAATAATAGAAAAATCAGAGACACAAACGTACATGCCAAATTGTCGAGGATAAGGTGAATCGAACACATAATGCGTTTCATAGACAACCGCTGAACAAAAGTCGTCAATAGCTAGATTTTTTCTGATATCAAACGTATATAGGAAACCACCGCTTTGTTGCTCGGAATTTTTACGAGAACTTTGGAGGATGTATATGGCACACAGGAGTTACTAGAGCAAGTAAAACTTGCTGGGGCTAGGTTTTTACGAGACAGGGAGACATGGTAGATCAATTGGCTTTTGCTCCAGTCACACGTCAATGAAGGGGGCGACTTTTGACACAGCCTACGATAGGATTCCCCACAGCAAATGCCAAGAAAACTTTTCCATTGATCCACCATCGCCTGAGGGTGGAAATTCACCGCTTTATATGAAACCAAATGCATTACATGTCTAATAATGTGTTCGAGTAGTTTTGGAGGTTTTCTTAAGTACAAGAAGCATTTATTCAAATAGTGAACGGAAGAATTACACTGCTGTTGAATTACCCCATCGGATCCGCCCAGGCACAATCATTTTTAATCTGGAAACAGGGGTACAAATATCAAATGAGATTGGAGTGCAGAACGAGCGTCGGTGGTGCAACGGTCTAACACATGCTCTCGGAAAGAGTAAGAGCTGAGTTCGAATTCCAGCTTACGCAAACGTTTTTGCGCACCACTCCACATCATTGGGTTTGTTGAAACATCATAACACCGCAATAGGAGGTCAAATAAAACAATTACGATTTGAATGAAGCTATTTTTACCCACTAGATATACCCATTGGTGAATAGTGATGTGCAAAACTTTGGCGCTATGCGGGACTAGAACCCACACCTGATTTCCGTAGCGCGAGCTTTAGCACGTCACACTACTGGCGGCTAGCTTTGCGCATCACTCTTTCTACGTTACCGTATATCTAACTGTCAGCCGCCAGTCGTCAACGGCCTGGCCGGGCAGTCGGCATCGTCATTGAGCTCAGTCATGCTGACAGATATCCCTTCCTAGAATGAAAACCTACCAGAAGCTGAAATTGATGTTTTAAGATAAGGGGTGTAATTACGGGTGATTAGGCGTTTAATTAAGATCACGTTATAAAACATGCAAGGTAAAACAGTCAGACCGTCCATTTATTGAAGCTTGAGTATTGGGAGTATTTAAATGGTAACTAGTCCACCCGTCATGAGTGTTTCATCTTTAGCAAATGTCTTTCGATTTAGCCGAAACCCCTTTATATAAGGTAATCTGTGCTGAACATGCTTCACTTCACACCAGGCAAGGAGATCACCAGACATTGCAGTGACAGTCGGTTGATCGATGCTGGAATAATATCATCAGATTATTTTGTTTTGAAACGTGATTCCAAAAACAGTCGGATAGAAAGGTATTGCTATATTTATTTTACCAGCCATCGATTAATCGGCTTTCACTGCAATGCCTTCACCCGGAGTGCAATTATAAAAGGTTCGGCAAGGGGTTCAGTTTGGTCCGAAAAAGCGTGTGCTACCTAGTGATGAGGCTCCACATGAAAGCTGAAAAGTGCGTCCAGCTCAACAAGTGCCATATCAGGCCTCATGAAAGTCTTAGGAGATGTTGTAACTTTCGATTGTCTTAAACGAGGCTTCAGAAAGGTACTTGAATAGAAAGTTATTGCTATTACTCAACTCTTACTAAAAATTTAGGTGTCTTAAATTCGTCGCTGAACGTTGTCAGCACATAAAAGAATAAACTAAAAAACTTGGCTGGGGATTTCAACCCACGATTACACTTTTCGCTGGCTCACGTGTTATCCACTATACTAAAGGGGCTCTTGCTTGATTTTCTGGCAGCAGCGTTTTTTTCATAAAAGTACTCTTGCGATAACCCCTAAATAGGAATAGTCCGGAGATCGTTTCACGTAGACCGTCGTATAAGCGGTTGCGAACTACTTGGTTCTTCAGATTATTCGGTGTATTTCAATAGCTGTGTAGACGGATCGACGGATATGATAGCATGGTATTTACTCTAATAATATCTCAGCTGCTAAATTACAATCCAGCCCATCTCTTGAACATCTTCGGCGTTGACCGTTCTTTATAGCAGCCTGCCGAACGAATGTGAATTGCAAACCACCCACGAGCTTCTTATGAAACACCAAGGGCAGATTAACATGTATGGTCTATTGATACAGCAGGGCATGCTTCTTGTAAAAGAGTGCCTTGAACTGCCTATTTTTTGATAGTCTAGGAAGCACTCTATAAAAATTGGAGGGTTGACAATGATGCAGCGAGTGGCATCTAGTCTGGCTGTTGCGTTCATGTCTAAAGTGGAAGCCCTTTGAATGATCTCTGGCCATTAATCTACTCTAAAAATATTTACGATTGCTAAGTTATCTGCTCATTCAAGAAGAAATGAAACAGATATTTTGATTGTTGAATGAGCGGTTAGAATACATGAAGTTCAAGCGTAAGATTTCGAAAAAATAACTGACTTCCTTCCTTGAATGTACAGGCAAATCTATTCGGTAATGATTAGATAGCGAAGTGATAACGAAAGCCAAGTAGCAAAATATCTTGGTTCATCATCTCTACTATCACTCCCATTCCACCATACAAAAAAGGCGCTTGTCAAAAGCAAGCTCCGTACAGCGGCCGGTGTGTGTAATGGAAGGAACAAACGGTACAATCCTGAACAAACTCGGGATATAGTAATTTTTAGTGGCTACGAAACTGTAACTCCTCGATAGAGGCTAAGAAGAAATGACGCGCCCACAAACGATGATTCCAAGGAAGCAAGGTCCCGATAATTCTTTCTTTCTTTTCCAACGGGGAAGGTATAGCTATAAAACGTTGCTCGAAAAAGACACACTTGGTGAAATTGGTAACGATTATTAGAAATTACGACCGTCTATGTAATACGAAGGGATGCATTATATGCCTGCAACGGTAGAGGCGGTGACTGCATCAGCATGGGTACAGTCTACCGAACTCTGTAAACGTGAAGCGGCGAATATATCGACAAAACTGGCAGGCCTCTCTATGTCCGTATTAAACAACACCTACACAACGGCGATAAAATGGATTTAAAAATACCACCAGGCACACATTGGGGCAGAGATGCATAAGGAGGTGAACTTCAAAGTGGAAATATTCATCCTCGCAGAGGAACGCAAAGAGACGAAAACTTCAGTGATAAAATCTCGAGGCCTTTTGGAATTAAACCATAAATCCGGACATGAATTGGAAATATGAATGCCTTGAGATCACTTGTGATTTCGCGCCATATCTCGGATCGATTTTTGCGGTTCAGAGGCAACACTCGTTCGTCGTTTATCAAAATACTCGGTGTTGTGGTCTACATATTGATTTAGTGGACTAGTAACAACAGAATACGGTGAGTATTTAATGATTGCTGATTACTGTACTTTGAACTCCTCCGATTCTTCAGATTTCATCCTAAATGGTGTGAGAAATGTTCATCTATGCGGATTGAAAGTCATTTCACTCTTTTAGGCTCTGACGAACGCGAAACTACCGAAAGGTTAGCCACTGCTACGAACTCCAATGTGTTCTGCAAAATCAACGTGTATTAACAACCTCGTGCCCTATTAAAAAAAATAAAGTTAGGAAATGTTCAATCAATGCCGTGGTTAGTCCGATGGCTGATCTTGGGGACTGTATGGTTAGACTTGCAGCCCGTCGGACTTGTGGCAGAAGTTCACAGAAGAAAACTAAACTTCGGTATTTTCTGGTGATCAGGCAAAAGCACAAAAGTTAATGAGGGATTTATCTTTTTCTTTGACTGACGTTCAACGCGTTACATCTTTTGATCAATTTTGCTCCGAAGAAACAGTGAATGCGTTGGAACTTCAGGGAAGAATTAGAAAAGTCTTCTCTAAAAATCATTTCAAGCTTCTGCTATTCACGAAGAGTAGAACGATCTCTCTTTTTGTACATTCCTTAGTCAACACAGCTATGATAGGTGTGTGTCAGTGGAATTTTGGGTCTTCCTAATCCTCACGCGATGCGCAGAATAGCTATTAGTGCTTATCATCCGACGTAGATGTGCAGCCGCTGTGTGTACTACTTCTTGCTCTAGTCTGCCTTGTGTTGTATCGTCACTATGCTGAAGGAATCATTAAGTATTCACAATTATCATGTGTGTATGGTTGTGCGTGACTTCCCGCACATTATTTTTGTTTGCGCCGTGTCTGTTGAATTTTGCATTTTTCTCTTCCAAACCCGCACGTTCGTCGATGATAGTACTGATACATTCGTGTGCACTATTTGGTTTGCGCAATCGGCACCGCGCGTTCTGATGTTGTTTGTGTCAAGTATACATTTCTTCGATGCAACATCAGAACTCCACTCAGTCTCGTCCTTCTGCTCCTCCGTATAGCATATTTACACATCTACTGGATCGCTCCGCCACTTCTTACCGTTATCCCTCGGTGTGGCGCGCTTGTCGTTTGTTGTTTGGCAGTGGCCCTACGCTGCGCTCTCGCAAATGTCTCGTTATTAATACTTGTAACCAGCTGTGTGTACAAACATCTCTCATGTCTATGTGTCGAACATAGAGCCATCGTATGATTGAGTATCAGGTAAATCTGTAAGTATGATACTCTGACATTCACTCAAACATAACAGGAATAGGAAGCAAGCGTACAGCCACAGTTTTTTCGGCCCTGTTCTCAAGTGGGGATACACCCGTACGTCACTTTGCGCGTCTGTCGTTGACGCCTCATGGACATCCTTCTGTGCGCACCTCCTCACTATTCCTTCAGGTACCATCCCCTTACATCAGAGAAGTCGACGACGTCGTGCCTTTTCACACCCTAGTTATCCGTGCTGTCTAACGATAATTATCGTAGTGTGTCAATAGGTGATTGCACATCTACTCTGTGCGTGAGCGCAGTGACTAGGTAGTTACTGTAAATCACTTCGCTATTCATATTTATGTCGAGACGCAAATTTGTGATTGACTCGTAGTATTTGTGTCGCTCTATGCTGCTATAGTTCCTGATCACAACATTATCTACTACACCCTTATAGTGTTTCGTGTGAGTGCTGTCTTTCTCTCGTTAGTACTATTTCCGTACTTCACTCTGCCCATCCGTACATCATACATGCTATGTCATTACTGGCGCGCATGTTGACTAAACGCTTTATAAAAATATCATAACAGCCTACATCAGTACACTGGTCTCTCGGTTGATCTAGGTAGATTTTTTTGTAAAGTCAAATGAATTTTTTAAGAAAACATTAGCAACCATTACTTATCTGTTGCTGACTCACTTGTGTTCATTGGTGTAAATTGCATCTACACACGTAATTCTTCCTCACACGAACTGGAGAAACACTCACCATTGCTGTTTAGAAAATGCAGTGACGAGAAAATAATATTACAGATTATCGACACTTTGGACAGTGTCCCAGTGCCGTAAGTTGACAGGACTCCTTCTTCATTCGGACCGGCAAGCGACGGTCATGTGTCAAATTGAGAGCAGTGTAGTTATGTGTGCATTATTGCTCCAGAATAGCGCAATATGAGAAGCTCTCTATGTGAACTTCTACACCAAACAAACCTAAAATCTGAAGGTACAAAGGTGTGGAGGGTGCTGGCTTCTTACCGATTCGGTGACCAATTTTTAAATATGAAATAGTGATTGTATGTCACATGTCAC